ATATATATATATAAAGTGCCAAAATCAAAATAAGAAAGTTTATTTTAATTTGAAAAAGAAAATTTACTTATATGAATAATAGATTAAAATGACTAGAGATAATTTGCATATTTAATAATATAAATCATGATAGTAAAATAAATATTTAGGTAAAGGAAAAGTAAAAGAGTGGAAGTTATTTAAAATATTATTTAATAATTATTAGGTTATAAATATTATTTTAAATTTTACTAATATATTGAAAGATAAGTATATATGTAAATATAAAGACTATTTATGTATATTCAATAGCTAATTCTAGAGAATGATAACAATTCTAATTAATAATATTTGAGATATTAATCTCACTAATTAATTATAATTAAACAAATTAGAGAGATTTATCAATTAAATATTAACAACGAGGGTCTTTCTAGATATTAAATCTATCATCATCGCAGTAAGAAGTAAGAACAAACTTTTAAAGCATCCGTATCAAAATGAGTACTCATATCTTTTTAATTATAGTAATGATTTAATTCTCTCTTAAATTATATGGATCAAAAAATAGTAATACCTCTTTATTAAGTCTTTATTGTAAGCTAGATTATGATGTGTCTTTCTCATATTCAATGATTGATCATAAAGAGTATATATATATGTTTGTATGCGCATGTTGATTGATAGATCATACTCTCTTATGATACTGACTGTGGATGAAATATAACCTTCATTTGGACGTATTCTGAGTGTTCGGCCTTTAACGTCTCTTCTTCTCCGACGGCAATGTCTCCTGCTCATTCGTGAAGCCAACACGTCGTCTTCCTGCTTGTTCGCAAAGCCAGAAGCCAACACCGTCTCCTGCAGCCCTGCTCGTTTGCGAAGCCAGAAGCCAACACCGTCTCCAACACTGTGTACTGCTCGTTGCCTCGTTCTGATTTGTTTCGAAAGGATTTTTTTTTCAAAATCCAGAGAAAGAATAGTGACAAAAAATTGTTATATCAAAAATATATGTGATTGTTTTTAGTTTGTTGAAGGAAAGATATGCTTATATCCCGAATGAAGCCTTATTTTATTTTTAAAGTTTTATGGGGCTGTTTGGTAGCCCTATGATTTCATTTAAATAGGATTTCATAAATTTCGGGATTTCATAAATCCTCTAAATATGAATTTATGAAATCAATTCAGGATTTAAGGTGGTTAAAAAATTTAAAACGTTTAATTATTGATTATAATATTCTATAATGATTATTTTTATTTAAAATCATATTTAATCCTATTAATTATTTTGGAATGACTAAGTTTTTAATTAATAGTTTTATTAATAATTTAATTAGTTTTACTAATTTTTAATATTTTAAATTATATTAATTAAGTTATACAAAAATAATTCAGAGTATAGGACTCTAGGTTTTGGCTCTCTCTTCTCTATTTCTTTCGGCTTGTGTAAAGTTTTGCACGAGTTCTTCTTCGTCGCCGTTAACTTCGCTCCTCCGACGACATTCCCTTCCTGTTGGAGCGGAAGTTAAGACATTTTTTGATCGGAAGAAACTACGGGAGGTCGCTTGACGGGAGGTCGCTTGCTGTGAAGGTAACTTTCTCCCTTTCGCGCGCTTCTTGGGCCCAATCCCGTAAATACGCCGAACCAAAGGATTTCGTAAATCCGGGATTTACCACGAAAAGAGGGAATTTTCCGTCAACCGCGGCTTTGATTTACCGTGAGATTTGGTTTTGCATTTTTGGCCGTTTGGCTGGATTTAGCTCAAATCCGGTCTAAATCCTGCATCCAAACAGCCCCTATAAGTTTCTAAAGCAGTTTGTGCACTGATAAGTGTGTATACTGTTTATCATTTTCAAGTATATCAAAATACAGAGCACAATGTTTTTCTTTTTTAAGTAAATTACTCATTTACTCTAATTGTCATGCAACTATTCTTCTCAGATATATCTCACTGCAGTCGTATTCCTTAAATCAGTTTGGCCTAAGTTTTTTTTGCTAAAATTTGAATAATCAAAATAGTATGCGATATTTAGGTAGATAAGCACGCTTAAGCAGGTTAGGTATATGAATGAAATTTTTTTGATTTCTGACAGTGATTTATAAGAAAATTGATTTCTTCACACTTTTTTGCTACTTTATTAGTGCCCGTTATGCTTCTTAATTGTTGTAATGCACCGCAATTTAACCTTTAATGGCAGGTTATCGCCTTACAGGTATGTATATTCTTTCCTCCTCTTTATCAAGTTGCTTTTCTTTATAAATAATAGTTAATTTTCTCAGTGTATAGAGCACTATTAGAATATTTATACAATTATAGTTATATTAGTTGAGAAGTGAGATCATGATAGGCACTGGCCTGGAGGAAATTATATTTGAAAGATCTGTAACAAATCAACTAGGTGGATGAATATGTTGAGAAGCATAAATGTTAATAATCCTGGAACCTTACTAAATTGTAGAAATCATAACAAAACTGCAGTAGTTGATGATTCAGCTAAAAAAAATCTATCCTTGATGTGCTCAGACAGATTCCACTGTCTAGTATGCCTACAATTTGAAAGAGGGCAAGGGACTCACTCATACCAAGCTCATAGTGAAGTGACAATTTTTATAAATCTTATTTACATGGCAAAGAAACTTTCATTAGCATATTAATCTTTTTTCTTCTTTATTTTGGAATGAACAACTACATTCAATTATATTGATTTCTTATCTTAATTCTTCTAGAAACAGGAAGATGTTAAACATAGGGTCAAGTCTTAAGTGATATAAAATTTTAGCTTTATAAATTGCTGCTACACATCTTATTGAGGTATGCAATGTGATAATAAAAAACTAGCTGATTTGGCCATCCTGTACGGGAACCGGGAGCCGCCGGATGGCCAGACCACTTGTGCGGGAATCTGGAGCCGCAAGGTGTCATTTCAATTTTGTTGCGAAAATAATAAACAAAATCATTTTGAATTCTCACATTGCATTGGGGGGAATGCATACCTCAATAAGTCTTAATTAAGTATCTTAATCAAGCTTTAAAAGTTGGACCGGACAATGAATGAATGGACCGGAAGAAGGAGATATTAGTCGTTCGATGGTTCGACCATGGTCGAATCAGATGACGTAATAAATATTTATTATATTTAAATATTATAACAATGACACAATTATTTGTAAATATATAACAAAAATTGAACATGCACATAAATTAAAACCCATAAATCCACAAATAATATCACAAGTCAATTAAAAGAATATAAACTATGGTATGAATTAAACTTCACAGACTGCTAACCATTTAATGCTATGGTAAGTATCAGCAAACTATGCAAGGTAGAAAAATTAATAGAAATTTAAACTTAAACACATTTACTATCCATCATTGCGAATTTCATATACCAAGATGCTTTGAATTATGACTTATGTGATAACTATAACATTGCCATAGATGAATATTGAAGACATGAATTTATTATATGAACCTTTCAATCAATTGCACAACTGGTACGTGTGTATGTTAAAGATTTGCCATGGAGTAGGGGCTGGTGGGTCCTTCCATGGGATTTACATATTCGACTTGTGGGGTGATGACCTCACCATGCTTTGACTGGAATATTTTCTCACGTTAGCTATGGCTTTCATACATGTTATTAATGGTTACCTGATCGCATGCACATTTGACCTTCTTACCTATGAAAGCATGTGAGCTGCATTGCAAAGTAATGCTGATGTATGGACGATCATTGATTGAAGTACATATCTTTTTATATAATCTTTTGTTATGACTGAAATTAGCAAGAAATTTTTATTATATTAGGAGTTGTGTGCTAGAGCATAAGATTTTTGGCTTGCACTGGATATGCGCTGTACAGGTACAAGTCTAGTTGGTTTACTGTAAATGTTAGTATATTCTATGAATTTTAAGCTTACTGCGATAATGTCATTTGAAATAGCTGTGCTATTTGTGATTAGTTTGACATTTCACTTATGGTTATGTAATGTGATAGATGTGCTAATATTCTTTGTGGTTTTGTTGCTTAGATTTATTTGTTGGATATAAATGTTTTAAATTATGTAGATTTGGTCATTATGCTATTGTTATTAGTAATTATACTGCCATAATTTTTTGTAAGCCCGGGCAGGGTGTAACACTTTCTCTGGACTAAACCTCCAGCACAGAAGGGTTAAAGTTAGGGTTTTAACCAATAAGGATGGTGCGGAGTCTAAAGAAGCCCAAGAAGATCAAACACCGGAATAAGGAATCCAAGAAGGGTGATTCTTCTTCTTCTTCAGTGCCTTCTGCTCCAGCAAAGGTAAGGAAGATATATTTTCAATATTTTCTAGTTTCTCCATTGCTACGGGAGAAATAAAGTATTAGTGGATTTGATGATTTGGATATTCCCATTGACACTCAATTTTGAGTTTATTTTTGGGATTTCAATCGCAAACTATAACTTTCGGTCATTCTTTTTTTATATATAACTAGGTATGGGAACCTGGAGTAGATAAATTGGAAGAAGGGGAAGAGCTCCAATTTGACCCCTCCGCATACAATTACCTGCGTGGTTTTGGCGTTGGATGGCCTTGTTTGAGGTATTTAGTTGAAACAATATCTTCTTTAAGTGTAAATTGTTCCTGTAGTTATTGAAAATGTTCCTTTTAACTTTGATGCTGCAACAGTTTTGATATCATCCGTGATTCTTTGGGATTGGTGCGTTCAGAGTTTCCCCACACATTATATGGTGTTGCAGGAACTCAGGTTTTTCATTCCCTATGACTGATTATTTCTACTGCTTTTAAAGGAGCTTGAAATTCTCTTTTTTCTTATGATCATATTATTATTTGTTCTATACGAGCTCACATTGATTATGAATTTGTAGAAAATAACTATGAAAAAATTTCAGTATATATTATTGTTTGCACCCATACATTCTTGCAAATCTATCAAAGATATGTCTGGCCATATTTTAAAAAAATTATTTTATTTTTTTTCTATAGGCTGAGCAAGCATCCTGGAACTATATTGGAGTTTTCAAAATCTCCAACATTTCTGGGAAAAAGCGTGGTTTAGTGCCATCTGCAACAGCTGATGGGGATACGGATATGGATAGTGAGAGTAGTAGTGATGAAGAAGATGATGTTGGTGATGCATCTGCACAACCTATTTTACAGGCAGGAGCTTCGTCCTTTGGTTTTCTTTCTTATCTTGGTGATGATTGCCTTGTATTACAGTATAGCATTATTTTTTTATTTATGCTTCCTGACTCATTTCAGCTTCACAAGGTGGCCCATCAAGGAGGTGTAAATCGCATCCGAGCAATGTCTCAAAAACCTCACATATGTGCTACTTGGGCCGACAGAGGACATGTCCAGGTCAAAATCTTTTAATTTGATTCTACTCTTCTGACTGTGCTAAAGTATTTAGATTCTTAAGTTTGAAATCTTCAAGACTAGCAACTTCATGTGAGAGCAGCTACTAAGTAGCAAACTGTATTACATTTCATTCTGAATTATTTATTAGAAATCAATGAATGTTAGGCATGAAATGCCAACCAGTCTTCTTTCCTGTCATAATTTCCAAAGCAGGTGTGGGATTTTGCCTCTCAATTAGATGCTTTAGCAGAGTCAAACGCTCAGAGTAGCCAGGGAGGTAATAGTATAAATCGCGTTGCTCCAGTAATTAAGTTTGATGGGCATAGAGATGAAGGCTTTTCCATAGATTGGAGTCCTGTTGTTACTGGTAGGCTTGTCTCAGGTATGGTTTTAAAGGCAATCTGAAGGTTACATTTTTGACAAGTTAAATAACATTTTATTGATTACAATACAAAAATACTCTTGGATATGCTGATGTTGCATGTGTAAATCAATCTTTTTAGGTGATTGCAATCGCTGTATTCATCTATGGGAGCCTTCAAATGACTCATGGATTGTTGATGCAAATCCTTTTGTTGGGCACCAAGCAAGCGTTGAAGATCTGCAAGTAAGCTTTCTGAGTTTCAGCTCTTTAATTCTACTGTGTACGCTTATTCTGATTTTTTTTTCTTTTTGTCTTTCCTGCAGTGGAGTCCAACAGAAGCGGATGTCTTTGCCTCTTGTTCTGTGGATGGGAATATCTCAATTTGGGATTCACGGATAGGAAAATCTCCTGCAGTGTCTATAAAGGCTCATAAGACTGATGCCAATGTCATTTCATGGAATCGGTTAGAATCGCTAGTAACTGTTCTGTCAAGCTTATCTATATTAAAGCTATGCTTTTGTTTGCTTCAAGCGATTGCATTCATTGTGATGAGCAGGTTGGCTAGCTGCATGATAGCCTCTGGAAGTGATGATGGCAGCTTCTCCATACGTGATCTTAGATTGATTAAGGTATGCCACCTTTGGCAGCTTGGTATGCCGTACCAACTACTAGAAAAATAAAATAAAATAAAATTCTTAAATGTCTTATGTTACTGATGAGTCAAGTGTGCCTTGCTATTTCATCTGCTTTTTTTTTATTCCTAATCATGGCTATTATTCCTGCTTTTAGATGTATATAGAAGGCTTCTGTTTGCTTTAATTAGAGACACAACAGGAAAATCGTCTTTTACCGGTAGATTTTTTCGACGGCTTTACTAATTTTTCTACGAATTTTCCAGCGGCTCTCCTATGATGTAATCAATGATATTGGTAATCATGTCATTCATGTTTAAGTTGATTTGCGAGTTCTAAGAACTCTCAATTCTCTTTTCTGATTTAATTATGTGATCAACTTATGTTGATAGTTAGACATTAAAATTTGGGTGAATGGAAAAAGAGAAGCTTCAGTTGCTTATCATAACGGACTATGTTGTGTAACATTTTCGGTTCAACATAGAATAATTATATATTGGTAGGGAAAGTTATAACATATTTTCTGGGTTTGGTTTCTTCTTCAGCATGAAATGACTGGTGAAAATCGTCTTTGTCTACAGGGAGACTCGCTTGTAGCTCACTTTGAGTATCACAAACAACCAATCACTTCTATTGAATGGAGCCCACATGAAGCCTCTACCTTGGCCGTCTCATCTGCTGATAATCAGCTTACGTGAGTTATCCTCGAAACCATAAAAAATAATGCTTATTTTGTTAGAATTAAAGTTTGGATTGCTTTATATTGTCTAACGCAATATAATTTGTTGCAATTCCAGGATATGGGACCTTTCATTAGAAAGGGATGAAGAAGAGGAGGCTGAATTCAAAGCAAAGATTAAAGAGCAAGCTAATGCACCTACAAATTTACCACCTCAACTCTTATTTGTTCATCAGGTAAATAACGGCTTTGAAACTCTCCTTTGATTCGTTATTATTGACCTGCTGGATTAATTTATTGAGATAGAAAGTCTCTTTCTTTCTGAACTGTAGAGAGTTTTTGTTAGGAAATACTAGAAGATTTCAAGTAAATTCTAGCAATAGAGATGAAAACAGAGAGAACGCTCTACAAATCCAATGAAAAAACAAGCAAAACAGTAGTTTTTATTATAGAAATCAAACTAATGGAATAAAAATAAGAAAATACAATTGATCCTCAATTCGAGAGGAGGATCTATCTCTCCTAATCCTTAGACGCCGCTAGAGCCCAATACACCAAACTCCAAGAACAAAAACATCCACAATAATTTGCATACCCCTAACCCTAATCATCTATTACTATTTAAAATAAACAATTAAACAACAAATACCTAAACAACCCTCTCCTAATTCTTACCTATTTCCTTAATTATTTCCCACCCAAATCATCCCTCAAATCTGCCATCTTCAATTAGGAACATTTCCTAATCAACCATCCCCCCAAATTAGCCCCTAAATACGTCCTCTTCAATTAAGAAGCATTTCCTAACTAATTCCTTTTAATTAAGAATCTTCTTAAACAACTCCCTCTTGATTAGAAAATTTTTTAATTCTCTGCCAATCAAATTTGGCCGGTCTATCCATTTTCTTTAGTTCTATCATATACTAGTGAATTTTATTTAAAAATGGAGAGGTTCTATGCTTACAAAATTTTCATTGTCATCTTGTATTTCTACTACTGATTATATAGTTTTTTATGTTATTTTTATCATTTGGTATCCCAACATTAACCCTCAGCCACTTCCTCTTCTGCTTGAACTTGTGACCGGTGCCACATGCATCTACTAGAAATAAAGGATTTCTGAAGTTGACTCCTCGTTGTTTAAATAAAGGCATAAAGCTTGAAGAATAATTTGTCAGGCCTGCTACAACATATAATATATATAGATGATATTTGTGGATTCATTAGCAAACTCTAATAGAGAAAGTTAATGATGATTATTATGCCTAACTACTATCGTAGTTGTCTATATGTGGCTCATTGAACAAAACTTTGTTCTTAAATGATAAATCCATAAATTAACAGGGCCAGAAGGACCTGAAGGAGCTTCATTGGCACCAGCAGATCCCAGGCATGATAATATCTACTGCTGCAGATGGCTTCAACATTCTAATGCCCGCCAACATTGAAACCACTCTCCCATCAGCCTAATTTTGTAGCCAATTGATGCACCTTTTTATTCTGCTTGCACTTCTCTTGATTTTCTTAGTTACCATGATTCATATTTATGTCTCTAAGAAATGGTAGATTATACATTTTTGCTTATTAGAATTTGTATTATAATCATGTTTACCTACCCAGTGTGTTTATGAGAATTTAGCATAAGTGGGCCTTTGTATGATCACCAATGCCAGTTTGATCTAGTTGCGATGAGGGAAAATGCTAAAAAATTATTCTCGACCATTCGTATGTGATCAATTTAGCGCCTAAGTATCACTTTTCTATAATTTACGCCATCAATTACATAAAATTTATCCCAAATAGTCTCTCGGGCATTAAATTAGGATCAATTCTACTTGTTGGAATAGCTTTTTTACTGCTTTCTAAAACATCTCTATAATACAAAAATTTCTTGAAAAACAACTTTAAAAAGCAGCAAAATTGCTGTCCCAAACTAAGCCTAAATTAATGACAAATCAATAGTCATGTGATCATAATGGTCTTACTAATTGAAGGTTTAACACTAATAGTGATAATGATGATGATGCTCTTACATTTTGAGCATTTCAATTATTAGATGAAAATATCATTTTTCTTTTCTTTGAATGTTGGTGGCATTAAAAGCTTAGAGAGAGTGTATATTTGCTGTATTTGTGATAGAATATGTCATGTGAGTTTGCATGCTTACCATCATTCATCTTCCACCTCCATGAAATGTCATGTGACTCTCATCATAAAGCTTAGAAGCTGAAGATTGAAAAAGAAAAAAAGAAGCTCTCTCAGCCTTAGCGCTCAGAAGCTGTCTCCTGCTCCCCACCTAATTCTGTCCTTTGGCCCCTTGTGCTTGGCACTGATTGGGGCTTTGCCTAGCTTTCAACAATTCATTTTTTTTTTTCATTCTGAATTTAATGGAATTTGATAATACTTATTGTAATAACATTGTTAGAATTTTAAAAAAAAGTTGTTATCCGCCGTTGCTTAGCTTGGTTGATGTGCGAGTATGGTTGGGAACCCTCGAACCTGTGCTCAAGGGGGGCGGTAGTGAGCGGTAGTGATTCTTAAGTGGGACACTATCAAGTGTGGGTCAGAAGGTTTCTGGGGTGGGTGCCTATTCTAGGTCAATTGAGGATTAGTCACGCTGCCAAGCGCCCTTACAGGGGTGACAGCCGGCGGGTGTATAGTTCCAAAAAAAAAAAAAGAATTCACTTTGATTGGTTGGTTGAGACTTTTGAATGCCAACCAATTTTAATATAATGGTATATATGTTATTTACATGCATGTTATATTATATCATGTTATTTACATATTTAACATATAAAATTTTAATATTTCATGTATGTTATCCATAGATAATTTTAATATTAAATATGTCACTCTTATATTTTATTAGTATTATAAATTTTACATTCATATTTGATCTACAAGTGGTAGTCATGAAATATTAAGGTTTTGAATGTTGGATATATAAATAATAAATAGTTTGTATGTATGTAAATTCCTCAAAAAATAATTATGAAGTGGCTTTTTTTGTGGAATTTAGATAATAGTAGAAAATAATATTAAAAACATTTAGTGGTACTTTTGTAGTACTTTTTTCTTCATAGCTTTGGATGATGAATGTGAAGGCAATGATTTATGTTTCTGCAATCTCAATTTGTTTTTTTTTTATAATTAAATTAACATAATTTTAAAATAATTTTCTTTTGTTTTTAAAAGTTCCTTTTTTAAAAAATAGCTTTTTAAAGACATTTAAAATGATGATAAAATCGTTTCATTAAATGCATTTCTTGTCAGGAAAGTCATTTAGTGCTTTATTGCTTGTAAATTAATTTTTTTTAATTAAATACAATATAAATAAGAAGTCTTTATACATTGAGTAGGGTTTGTTACATGATTTTTTTTTTCATTATATCATATTAAAATTTAAATTCTCATTCAAAATTATTATTCATTAAATGATTAAAATTATTAAATTCAATTGTTTTGTTGAATTTAAAGTTCAAATTTGTTTAATATAATGACTTTATTTTCATAAAGGTTGAAAAAAATATTATTTAAAAAACATATGTATGTCTTAAAAAAAACAAATAAAACACTTTTGGAGAAAAAAAAAGTGAATATTTCACCAAAACCGGTTTTGCTAAAAAAGACCGAATCTCCTATTTAGCTATTCTTGTTCATGAAAAGAAAACCGGCGGCAGTACCCAAATTCTTCGGATTCGGCTCGTTAGACCCCGAACCGGTCGCTTTTTCTTTTTCTTTTAATTTTTTTTAAATACCACCCGTCGCTTTTTCTTTTAGAGATGATCGATGGTCCTACTTATGAAATGACTGAAGTACCCCGCGCGTGCAAGGGACCACCGCGCAGTCCGCAGCGCCAGTCCACGCGCTCACGAATCTCCCCCACGTCCGCTTTCGAAGTAATGGTACTTCCGTAATTAAACTTAACAATGTGGGCTCTCTCATCTTCACGTTTATCTAGATAATTGTATATCTAACATCTAAGTTATAATATTTACTTTTCTAGCACCTAAATATCATTTCACACATCTGAAATACCACTCAGTTGACTCCCATCAAACATCACCCCAACCTTTCTTGTGGTCCGATTCGTCTTCAACAAACTGGAGAAATAGACGTATGGTATTACAATTTTAATGGGTCATGTCTGTGCATTCTAATCAAACAAGAGAGAGGGCAGGAGATCGCAAACTAGCGAAACCAGAGAGCTGGAGATATGAATGGATGGACGAAGCTTTAGAGCTTGTATGCGATCCATTCTGAGTCTTTAGCAAATGAGAGAAAGAGGCAGACAATACTAGATTTTCATGAGTGTTGTCCATGCACTCTAATCAAAATAAGAGAGAGGGTAGTGATTTCTTCCCGTTTGTGCGATCCAGAGAGCAGGTGAATCAGGGATTACGTACGATTCATTTAGGCAAATAAGCGAAACCAGATAGCTAAAAAAAGGAACAGACATGTGAAGCCTGATCCATTTGAGCGTGCAATCTTATTTATCTCATTTGTTGAAGATGAATAGCTCATCCACGGGAAAGGTGGGGGCCGGGTTTAACTGAGTGATTTTAGATTATTAGAATAATATTTAGGTGGTAGAAAAATAAATAATATAATTTAGATGTTACATATATAATTATAGCACTTTTAAGTGTTATTTATGTTAAAAAAACCTTTATTTTATTTCCTTAGCTTTTTAGTCCTTCATCGCGCCAAGTAGTGAAGAGTGAGGAGATAGTAGGAGAGAAACTGAAAGAGAGGGAAGGGAAATATTGCAGGTTTCGACATGGAGGAGAAGAGGAAGAAGAAGATGCAACCGTCGCCTTCTCGCCGGGAAAATGCGCCGGAAAACCATCGCGTTCATCATAAGAAGACAATCGGGTGCATGTCCGGCATTCTTCAACTCCTCTCTCGCCACCACTCCCGCCGCCGCATCCCTTCTGGTAATTAACAACCAACCCCTACCTCCAATCTCTCCATTCAAATCCGCTCTAAACCATCTTTGTCTCAACAGCAAGGAAAGAGATAATCGAAACCCCTCCGACTTCGACATCTACTCCGATCGTACAACAGCCGGATTTCACTGGGATAAATACCGCACGGACGCCGGTGAACGCCGATTTGGAATTTTCAAGTGAAGCGGGCGGTTTATCGAGTCGAAGTCCTACACTGCCGTCGGAGATCCGGAGATCGGGTGGATGTTTTGATCGCGGGGACAGCCCCAGGCAATCTCCGGCGCTGGTGGCTCGTCTGATGGGGTTAGAAGACCCGCCGCTGCAGCGGCAGCTGCCGAAGCCGCCTCCCGAGTCGGAGTCAGCGGAGGAGAAGAGGCGGAAGCTACTCGGGGCTCTGGAAAGGTGCGATGAGGATCTCCGCTCGCTCAAGAGGATCATCGACGCTGTTCGAGCGGCGGAGATGATCCACATGAAAGATGAAACAGATTCGCCGATCCAGGAGTTGAAATTCCTGGATGGAAACGGCGACCAACCTAGCCCCGTCTCTGTGCTTGATGGCTTTTCCTCTCCTAAATTCTGCGCTTCAGAAAATGGTGAATTCCAACACTTTGATCCATACAAACATACATAAATAACATTTTTGTTAGAAAAATTTTCCTTAATTTTCAAGTTTTATGATTCATGAAGAGTTATTAGTTCCAAAAAAATAATTTTATTAAAATCATAAGATAATATTAATTTTATATAAATTAAAAAAGCAATTCCCGCCCATGGCTGGCGAGCCGGCTCGAGCTCGTTAACAGTGACACGAGCTCGAGTTCGAGCTCGACTGTCGAGCTCGACTCGAGCTCGAGCTCGAGTTCGAGCTCGCTTTCTATCTAACGAGCCGAGCTCGATAAGGGCTAAAACTCGACTCGACTCGACTCGTTTACACCCCTAGTCGTGTCTGACACTAGTCGACAACCATTATATATCCATGCAACAGAGAGCGCAAAAAAAAAGTGCAGTATAAATGTGGGGTCTTTTTTGTTTGGTTTTCTTACATGAAAGAATAATGAGACTGAACAATAACGCTCTTTTGCTTATATTATTTTACTATAAACAATTAGCCTGATTTTTCCATTGAAATATCACTTATGAGAAATTATTCTATGAGGAGATCAGATGTAGAACGTCATTCAGAGAACAATTAGAATGTGTCACGTCAGTGGTAATGAGCTGTGGTATCGAGTACAGGGATGATGAGGCGCATTCTGATTGGTCTTTGAACAACGTTTGACATCCGCACAGAATAATTAATCGTCTTGTGAGAGGTTTTCAAAATTCAACACAAAAATTTTATTGTATAATATGCTTCTTTCTCATAAGGTAGTAGCTCTACTGAAAGATAAGATTAGATAGAGTCGTCTTAGATCATTTGGGCATATAAAACATTAACTTTTTGATGATTTTGATTTTGTTTAGGATTACTTTCTTGCTACTTCTTAAGGCATTTTTTTAGTACAAAAAATATAATTTTTATGCTAAAAAGTTGTTTTAAGAAGCAGTAAAAAATCTGTTCCAAACGAAGCATTTATTAGGAGAATAAGTGTATTAGATCCAGCCTATATTAAACTCGTAAAAATGGACTTAAATTTTTTTTGTTAAAAATATTAAAAATGATTTTTTTATTAGATTTAAATTAGAATTTGACTCTTAATAAGGAACAAAAGAGAAAAATAATTCATATAATTGACCTCACTTAGCGGCATAAAAACTTGTTATTGTTACTTTTTTATATATACAATTATGTTGATGATTGTTATCTTAAAAAACAAAGAAAGATCGATGCCCGTTTATTTGATGAAAACACCAAACATTGCAAATGAAAAATTGAATCAAACTTAGATTGGAGAAAGTGGAGAAAGTGGAGAAAGTAAGAAAATTTCTAACGTTTAAATGAGATTGTGTTGCAGAGGAGGTGCAGAATAAGTCCTTGAGCTCGGTCGAGGTGAGCTGCCATGCCCCCCGTCGGATTACGATCGAAGGAATCCGTCGCCCGCCATCGGATCATAAGAGAATATTAAAGGATCACACAGTCGTAGCAGATTCGTCATCGTCGGCAGCCCTTAAATCCTTCGCCGCCGGCCGGTGGCGGTGGAGATGGAGGAGGAGCCAGGCCATGGTGGAAAACGTCGGGGAAGTTGGAGAAGATGCAATTTGTGAAGAAAGAAGAGAGGTTGTGAGAGTTGAAGTGGATTTGGCTGATGATGTACTTGGAGATCTCGTCGACCAACTTATTATAGAGCTGGTGGAGAGCTGTTCTAAGCTCTGCCTTCAAACGGTAAGGTGTAAGAGGAAACTGTGTTTGTAGTATTGGTTGTGGGTTCATCATGGAACCATCTCTGCAAAAATTAGAGATGACTAATCATTGCAAGAAGTCATTGTAGCAAGAGCCAGGCTTCGTTTGGAATGACTTTTTTTTTGCTTTTTAAAGCAGTTTTATAGTACAAATTTTTTTAATTTTGTACTAAAAAACGGCTTTAAGAAACAGAAAGAAAGCCGTCCCAAACGAAGCCTAAGACACATGTGATTTTGCATGAGTGATGCTATGATATTGTGGGGTGTTAGATTTCTCTCATGATTCGTGTGTGATTGTAGTTAAGATGGCTATTAGATCTCTTTTGATTGTTGGATTTGATTTTCAATATGAGAATTGCTCTTTTCTCTTGCTTAATAGATATGTTTTTCTTCTCATTCAAAATGTATATCATGAACATATTTTGAGAAATGTTTGAGATGATAGTTTTGATTACAGAACCTCCCACAAGTTTTTATAGATTTCTAACTTATCTTGGATATTCTTCTCAGGCTTTCCCTCTAGCGAAGTGTTGATTTGTTCTTGTTATGATTAAATATTTAGCAAAGTTGATTGAAGTTGAAGAAATTCCTTGATTTTATTTTCTTGCTTGCAATGATTTGTAGTTTGAATCATCTCACCCTGGTGTTAAATTCTTTCAATGTCAATTAGTTCTTATCATTCTTAGAATCTTTTATCAAAGTTAGTGCCCAAGGGACCACATTATGGTTGGACACTTACCTAATTTTTGTACTAAAATTATGTTTTAAAAAGCAATAAAAAAGTTGTCCCAAACGAAGCCTCAATGGTATATTGATCTTGCTTCCTAAAATGTAGGAATCATGGAAAAAATTCACATTTCCCTATTCTTTTTTGACAATTTAGGTGCAACACATAACTCAAGAAATCTCTTTGTGCATCATGCCATTTATTTCCTTCTACTATATTCTCTCCAACTCAAAGGATCATAAATCCCAATTGTTAATGTTCTTTTTTTTTTTTAAGTGGGCTTGTTCATGATGGCAAGAAAAGAGTTCCGTTATGGTTTAAGATAAAGATCGAAGAATTCACTAAGGTTGATGTTGCTCAATCAAGATTAGGAGAGAGACTAAGTACAACATAGATGAAAGTAAAATGGTAGAAAGTAGAAAGAACATAATATTTAGCATAGCTCGATTGTCTTGATCTATATTCACTAAGAAAAGGTACTAAGAATTACTCTTCATCATATTCTATGCTTCCCAACGAGACAATTGATGATGATCATTACGCTTACATGTGTGGATATCATTGAAATTCCCTCAACCTTAATCTTTTTTAAAGTTTTATCACGAAGAAGAACATTCAACCTAAGATACTTCTCGGCTTAGAGGAAGACTGAAACTAAAGATACTATTTTTAGCTAGGTTCTTGAGAGTGGAACCCAATGATTTGTACGGGTGTTATTTTTATGTAATAGGAGATAAGGGAGAAAATAACTCTATATAGTATATAAACACACACATACACACACATTATGGATTTATGCTTTGCAGCTTACTTGCTAAGTACAAAGCTATAAATTGTGTCATCATGAAGAGCAAATTGTACAAAATATAGGTAAAATCGATCTCATTCTATCAGTAGGGCAACTTGCATGTGTGGGCAGTGGCGGAGCCAGAAAATTTTTTGAGGGGGGGCCTAAATTATTTTATTACAATTTTCTCTCAACTTTTTTCATCCGGGCTTGGGACCGTCAAAGACAGTTTTAAATTTTTTTTTAATAAACTACTAAATATAAAATAAAGTACACTTACAATTTATACCTTATGTTCTTCATATTTTGAAATAACTGAATGATAGCATCATTGTCAAAACAATCTAAAATTTCTTTTTTAATATAAGCGATTAAAGTATCGTTCATCTATTGATTCACAATTCGATTGCGTAGCCGATTTTTTATGATTGCCATTACAGAAAATGTTCTTTCGACTCCTGCTATTGCAACATGTAGTACCAATGCCAACTTCAATAGCCTAAAAACAAGGGGGTATAGTATTTCCTTCCTACTTTGAACAAATTTTTCAGCAAGACTTTCAATATCTTTTAATAATGAAAATTGTATATCAGGATCCGATTGAATGTTCTCTAGATTTGTAAGCTCATTGTTTGATGATTCAAGAAAAGTTCAGTTTCCTTTTTTTTATTTTTGTCCTCATCATTCATTCTTGAATCTTCTATTGGTGTTGATATGCAAGATTGTGAGGCCTTCTTAAAATACTTCTCCATAATCTTTGTGCAAAATCAAACTACCTAAAACATATATAACTCAAATACTATAAGTTGATCTAAATAAAAAACTTAAACTAAAGCATTATAAAACATACTAATATACTATAATGAAAGACTATAATGAGTTTTTTTTTTTTACCTAAACAGAAAACTAAATTTAAACTAAAACATTCAAAAATAGTTGGCATGCAAATAAATTTTCATTTTTTTACCTAAAAAGCAAACTAAAGCTTAAAAATTAATAACAAAATCTATGAAATGATACAAAACAAAATAAAAGAAAATGTGAAGAGATTTTTTGAGAGGTACTCACCTTCAACACTGCAGCTGCGTTGAAGAACTGAAGAGATAAGAACAGTTCAGCTGCGTTGAAAAATGCGAGTGAAATGATACACAACAATGAAATTGCTGCGTTGAAAAACTGAAGAAGGGAGATCAAAACCGAGAGAAGATAATCAACCATAAAATAATTCATAACACTTAAGCTAGAAGATACAAAATGATTTTTTTTTGCTGCGTTGAAGACTTGAAGTTACCTTCGGGCTTCGATTGCATTGAAGAACTGAAGATGGGAGATCGAGACCGAGAGAATGTCTTAAATGGGCTGCCCGCTGCCGACTGGACGACCCTTTGGAGGAAACTGCTGCGTCTCGCTGGATGGAGAAGCGATCGACCTCAACGGCTCGACGGAAAGGCTTCCTTCTCCTGTTCTCCGCGCGGAACCCGAACAGGCGGAACAGCTTGTGTGAATAGGCGAATAGCATAAATTTAGGGAAAAAAATGTTGAACCGGCCAAATAAACCGAACGAAATGCAGGTATTCGAAATTTTTTTTTTTTGGCGGAGGGGGCACGTGCCCCCACAAGCCCCCATGTAACTCCGCCGTTGTGTGTGGGATTCCTAAGGTGAGAAGAGAAGAAAGAGAAGAAACTCCATTCACAAGAACATCACTTAAACTCCCTTCTTTTTTTTGGGAAAAAAAACCACAAAGAAGAGACTGGTCACAATTAACCAACATGGGTAGCCATTAGAACAATAATAAGAGTAATACATATATCATATAAAGTCGATAAATGTTAGATCATACATCTAATCAAAATTTACAAGGTATACATATATACCATCGAATTTTTATGTATTTATATATTTAAGATCGAAGTTTTTATATTTACATACTTAATATCATGTTTTAAAAACCAAATCAGCTGGTTCAACCATGAGCAAATTCTCTAGCTAGTTCAGTCTTATAATTTAACTGCCACTTGCAAGAATATGTGTCATATTGATTAGAATTGGCGATTGAATTGAAGAATTGATGAACTAATGAACTAATGAACTAATGAGAGTTTCATTGAATCCCACAACTCCCATCAAGATCAATTTTTCAACGTCAAAATTTGATCGGACGGTGAAAATTTTAAACTTTTAATCTTGATTTAGGCTTCGTTTGGGACAGCTTTTTTGTTGATTTCTAAAACGGCTTTTTAGTACCAAATTTCCTAAATACAAAAATTTTTAATTAACAAAATTTTTGTACTAAACATCTTTTTTAGAAAGCAGCAAAAAAATTATCCCAAACGAAACCTTAATGATTAAAATTTTAAAAGCTTATATTGCCCTTACTTCATCAACAGTCGCAGCTTCCTCACCTATTCCCAACTTGCAATCTTTCTAAATCTCGCAGTCGCAAAATTGCCTGTCTATTTCCAATTCCTGCCCAACTTGACGTTGTCGCTACATCGATCTTCAAAACCTTAAGAATTTTGGGCTCCACTGGCTCGATTCAGTATCTCTTATTGACATTTAAAATAGCATTAATTTATCTAAAATAAGATATAAATTTCATTTATCATTTTTTTTTGTCATTTAATTGTTGGAAAATTATAGAAATAAATATAAATATTTATATGTTTTATATGCATACATAAAAATTTGAGAGTGTGTATTTAAATTCTGCTTAATTATATGAGAATATTGCATTTATATGTCCGACGATGCTCAAAGTTGAAGAAATATACTCTTCTTTTTATTTTCTCAGGCGAATATATTTGAAATTTTATTTTGGATTAAAATACCACCAATGCGAGATACTCTCTTGTATATTGAAATTTATCGCAAACAAAATAAATACAAACTAGTTTAAATTTGACTATTAATTGAATATTTGTTTGAATCTTATTCGAATGTGATCTGAACATTGATTGAAACCAAGGTTCGAATGTTGGTGTAATTGAATCCATGGATGCAAATGTCACATTGGGCAAATGCATCCATGAGCACAATAGACAATGGGAGTTTGTGACAGTAACTTGTAAAACATGGCAGCTTCAATGACATCAGTACTATTTGAGGAGAAAAGAAGTCATAAATAAAGTTCGTTAGGAAAGACAATGGGGGATGGTAAAGTGTGAAGGAGAAGAGAAGTTCACAACGGAAATTCATCAAAGCCATTGGCTACAGTGTTGTCATCTAAAATAGAATATGCTTCCAAGATGGGAGCTTGCAAAGGACATCAATACGAGTAACATCACGTGAAAGAGGACAAATGTTTGAACCTAATTTGAACTATATTCAAATAAGAGGTGCAGTCTATATGAACCAGCTTTAAGCAACAGCTCTAACAAGGTTTAAATTAAAGTTTCAATTCGAACCACTTCAAACTAATTCATAGGTGACAGACTTCAACCAGAAGTTTAAAGGATAATTTTTATAAAATATTTTATCTTAAAAAGAATAAAAATAGATATATTTCTACAAATTCATATATTATAATTTTTGTTAGGGTTGAGAAATGTTTCTTTGGACTCTAATCATAAAAGAAGCTCATTTTGATATGTTGGCTCAAAATTTATATATGTGATATTTATGAGTTAAGGTCTTTAAAAAAATCGAGCGATGAAATGACCAAGGTCATACACTCCTCCGCGTCGCGACCGCGTCCAGAATAGACGCCCCACAAATTTCAAGTTACCGGCCACAAAAATTTCAAAAATCAACTATCCGCTAATTTCAATCTTCCAAAATAGATTCACTTAAACTGACCGCGAATCAGCCGACTCAATATTTGACCCTGTCGGTCAAAATGACGAAATTATCCCTTCAATGAAGCGGGTCGGAGAACGACAACAGGTGTTTTATTTTTTTATTTATTTGTAGGAGACCGTTCTTCTTGCTCTAGCTGACTCTACGCCTCTCTCTCTCTCTCTCTCCCTCTGTTTTTTTCATCTCGGTTCTCTTCGAAGCAGATCTCAGCCGCCGGGATACACGTCCAGCGATGGCCGATCAGCTCACGGATGATCAGATCTCCGAGTTCAAGGAGGCTTTCAGTTTGTTCGACAAGGACGGAGACGGTCAGATTAATTCCTTTTGTCTGTAGTTTTTTTTTTTTTTAAATTGATCTGATGTTTCTTACCTCGTTTTTTCTCACGAAACTACGTGTCATTCCGATTTATATGCTCGAGGTGATTCCTACTAGATATGGGCATTTACCTAAGTTTTATAACTTGTCCCTGGTTGTTCTGATTGAATATCTTGTCATTTCTGTTTTGGTAGAGATTTAGGTTTGCTGGAGATTCTGGTTTATGTTTTTATTTGTTCTGAGTTGCTTTTGCATTGTTATATTTAATAGGATTTTTGGAAAATTGTTACAGCCTGGAACATTCACGGCGGTAGAGAGATGTAGTGTTTAGCGACTAAGCTCTATACGAAGATCTAACACATACAAATAAGAGAGTGGGGTGCGAGAGTCATAAGAGATAGCAAGCTTTTTACGTCGAAAACCCCCAAGTTGGGATAAACCATGAAGTCTGACCCAGTTAAAATAAATCTACTAGTGCTTGTTGTTGATTACAAATGATGACATTCCCTCGGGGGGAGGCGTTGACTCAATGAACATCATATAGAGTATATTACATGTTGAAGTTCGAAGAATCTAATGATATGAGAGCTATTCTCAAGAGAATATTGGATCGTTCATTTGGTTGGTATGATTGTAGTCAGCAGATGACGGAGGTCAGAGGGACCATAGTCAGCGTGCGATGAAGGTCGGAGGGATCGTAATCGGCGAGCGACGGTGGTCGGATGGACCGTAGGAGACTGACGACGGTGGTCAGAGGGACAATAGTCGGCAGACGACGGATGTCAGAGGGACCGTAATCGACTGGCGACGGTGGTCAAAGTGACCATAATCGGCAGGTGACGGTGGCCAAAGTGATTGTAGCAGGCTAGCGACGATGGTCGGTGGGACCGTAGTCGGGTGATGGTAGTTGTAGGAGTTGTGGTCAACGAGCAATGGAGGTTGGAAGGATTGTAATCGGGCAACGATAGTCGGAAGCATCATAGTTGGCGAGTGACCGAGGTCGGAAGGACCATCGTAGTAAGGCGAAGGTGGTTTGAGTGGCGTGTTGATGGTAGTCGGGTGGAGGTTTGACCGCGGTGGGCGGCTGGGCAGAGGCCTGACGGTGGTCGATAAATGGGCCATAGTTCGACAACGGTCAGCCAACGGGTAGTGGTCCGGCGATGGGCGGCAGACTGGCGGTGGTGATCCGGAGGTGGTCGACGGATGTTCGCTGGTAGTGGTGCATGAGTAGAAGGATCCTTGAAGTCTCAAAGCTCTTTCCAATCTCCAGCCCAAAGGTCCAAGCTCTGCAAAGGCCCAAACCCCAGTCATGTGGGAAGTGGGGGGTCTATTTATAGAGTTTTTAGAGTGGCCTGCCCCGTAAATATGGAAAAGATCTGGGGCAAATTCGGAGTGTTCCATTGGAAGGCCCATATTGATCCCCTCGATCATAAAATATTTGTCAAGCATTTATGTTTCCAAATGATGTCAGAATTAAGTAATCTTGGATTCGTTGGATTCGTCTCATCGAGCGGCTCGATTCGAATATAAGTATGTTATATTTTGATATCATTTGGTCATCCAATTTATGTTTTGAACCTTATAATTGTGCTTCAAGCCCCCGATTTGGACCCATTTAGGCTCGAATTGGACCGATTTTAGTATTGTTGGTTCCGTATGTTCGAGACATTCATTTTGACTATAAGTTTGTTGAAATTGGAGTTCGGATGGCCTAGAATTCAATATCTGGTTTGCGCAATTCAGAACTTTGGTCAAGATGAAGAGCTTGAAGAGTAGTTGGAAACCTTAAAATATTAATTGGAGATAAAAAAATCTCAAGATTTTGCATTCTTATAATCAAATTGAGCTTCTCAATAAGATAAATCCAATGAGACCAGGATCACATAATTTTAACATTAGTAAGGCATTTAGATGCTGAACAAATGCTCTATGATTAATGGAATCAATACGATTCATTTGATGGAACATTCTGATTTTTCTCTATATTTATGGGGCATGCCACTCAGAAATCTATAAATAGGCCGCCATTTTCTGTATGAAGAGAAAATTCAAGAGAGCTATGAGGCTAAAAGAATCATGGACTTCACCGCAACGACACATTTCCATTATACTATCACCAAACTGCCCTCAACGTACCACTACCTAAACACCACCATCATACCTTCACCGCACGATCGCTATCATCATACCTTCACCTTCCAACCATCAATATCGGACATTTGTCGTCCAATCGTCGCCATTAGACTACCATTATCAAACCACAGTCGCTGAACTACTAAAGTCGCTGAACCACCAACATCGAACTATTGACGTCTAATCGCCATTGTCAAACCACCGCTATTGGATCATTGTATTTATTAGATTGCCAACATCGGATCGTTGCCACCCAATCCTTATTATTGGGCTGCTTCTGCCTGACCAACACAATCGAACTGTTGTCACATTGCCACAATTATCCGAATGTTTTTCACTTAAACCGTCTCTATAATATTTTCTACTAGCTCTACATACCTTTGTAATGTTCACATTGTGGAGTAATTTCAACTAAGCAAGGCCCAATTATTTTTCCCCTTTTCATGTTTTTCAAATAAAAACTCAAGTATCACTTGTGCTCTTTTCATTTATATATTTGTGTGGTTGATCCTTATGCAAAGATGGGATGCAAAACTTTATTACTCTACTGCTAAGGATTTTTTAGCCTACAACTTTAAGTAAAGCAAAATGGTCAAGTGGGATACGAAAAATAAAAAAAAATAAAAAATAGCGGATATACTCTCATCTAAATAATTTCAAATATTATTAAATATGAGTTGCAAATGACCATTAATCCTCTAACTAGTAGAAGCTATCAATATACGATAAATGAAAGTAGGTTGTTATTAATACTCTCATTGTTAGTGATGCAATAGGATTAATTTCGAAGATAGTTTTCCATGGGGAGGTGGCAAGCAAAGAAGTGTTGGAAGTTCAATGAGCTCATTAAGCATCGATAAGATGGTCCTTTTAATGGAGGTGAAGGAAAAACAATCTAAAGGTGGTGGATGTAATGACACTGAAAGGATAAAGATGCTACTAAGGATGATCAAGGTGATCATCCACTTGGAGGTGAAGTTGGCAAGTCCTTATGGTGACAAAGAAGACAGTGCAACAAATCAATAAAACTCATTTAGGATATTTGAGCAGAGGTGAAGATGAAGATGACGTGACTTGAAGGTGGTTGGTGAACCAACATATAAAGGTCGTGAAGGTTATCAAGGATGGTTGAGTAAGTCTCTCATAGGTGACTTGAGGCATTGCAGGAATGTTGTGGAGATGATTAAGGGTAGTTATGATGGTTATATTTCTAGGGGTGGTGACGAGACACCTTAAGTGCGATAGGCGAGGTGGCATTGGAAGGTCATGGAGATGACTAAAGACTATTAGGATTGTTCTCTCTTTGGAGTTGAGACTTTCTAGCTTGAAGGTGGTTGGTAAAGTGGAGCAAGAAGGTTTCAGAAATGAATGAAGGGTAGCCAGGATGATTGTCCTTCTAGAGATAAAGATTACACAACTTTAAGATGGTGAATGAGATGACATAAGAAGGTTATGGAGGTGATTGAGGGCAATTAAGATGGTATTCCCTCAAAAGGTGAAGATAAAATTGCATACATGCAACAATCGATTCAAGATAGAAAACTTGCCTCCTCTACGTGCAAAAAATGCATGCAAGAAGGTCGAGCCTGCCTTTGGCCTATTCAACCTAGGTAAGTTCACTTTGAAGCAACTAATTTAATTAGTTTGAGGGCTTATTAACGTCCAATTTAGCTGTTTTTGGATATGTTGGATTTGTGTTATTGCGTCAATCATTTCAATAGTAAAATTTTCTTTTGGAGCTCAATTGATCACTAAATTAAAATTTGAAGTCAAAATTAAAATTGGCTCAGTACTTGCTTCAAAAATTATAATTGATCAAATAAGAATTTATACAATGCCAATAATGGAAAAGGAGGGGGAGGGGGGAATATGCAATTTTGAGCTAATTTTTTTATGATGACTCTCGTAGATCATGATATGAAGGGTTTCCTATAGTAAACTACCTCCTTCAACCCAATTCAATTGTATTTTTTGGGGGGAAAACCTATGTACCAATTCTTTTAACTTAAATTAACTATAACAAAAGCTTAGATATCATGAGGAGGTAAATGATAGTTTCTATCAGTTTTATCAATTGGAAAAAAATTAATATATTGGTTGTTGGGTTATTATCATTTGATGAGAATGGAGATAGAAAGGTTTAGAAAACATGAATTAAAGTTTGTGTACATTGTTTGCAAAAAATGGATTTTTTCCTTTAATGTCAACCCTTCACTTTAGAAATTGATTTGTATAGTCCTGCCCACTGGAAATTCTAGCCAAGCCAGCAATTTCGACAATAAAAACTAGAACGTCTAGCCCAATTTTTCAGATAGGGAACTTTGGCGTTCGATCATTAAGTGGAGGAGGAGGAATTGGCTGGGATAGGCCAAAGTTATCGTTGTTTTGGCTGAGTCTTTTGAGAAAGAATTGAAAGCTAATAATGAAATTTCTTACTGCTTCTTAAAACAACTTGATAGCACATCTTAGATTTTGATCGTGAGAAGGAAATCCTTTTCATCAAGTGTTTCGAGAGTCATCCGAAATTTTGATGGAAGGTTGATTTCGGATGATTTATCAACTTGTTACATAAGGTCGAACATCTCTTTGATTACAAAGAAGTACCACGCTCGATAGATATGTTAAACTAGTAGCTATCAAATTTATAAAGTGGCGTATATATAATACTGGGAGAATATTAAGAAAATTAGGACAAGAAACGATAAAAATAAAATCGTCATTTGGGATAAAAAGAAAAAAAGAATAACAAAATAGATACTGTGCTTTCCTATTCTCTCAGTAAGCTGTGTTTATTAAACTCCATAAAATTTTCAATAGGACAATTGAAAATCTGTTTTATCAGCACCAGTTCAATTTGTT